TGGACACATAAAAAGACACCAGGGACTTATACATGGAGAGAAAAGACCACAAGAGGTTGCACTAAGGGAGATTTTGCCAGCCTAGGAAGATCATCTCCAAAGCCAAGTTTTCAACACCTTAACCTTGAATTTCTATCCACCAGGGCTATTAGAAAATGTAGTGTGATCACTTAAGCCACCTAGTTTCTGGCATGTCTGGACTACAGTCCTTGTGAAACAATAAACCATCTGCTACATAGAATATAATTGCAGATTTAGTTGTTTTGTTTTTGGTCTCATTCACTTTACTGGAGGCCTATGAGGACAGAGAATGAATTTGTCTTATGTAGTTCCATAGTTCCAGAACAGTGCCTGACACTGAGTACAAGCTCCGTAATCACTTCCTGTGTGATGAGTGGCTGACTCCTCACCACCCTGCTTCAGGCCACCAGTGTTTCTTGCATAGCTCCAAAATGTTCTCCCATATAGTTTCCCCACCCTTCCTATGGGACTGAAACTCATACACCATACAACACCCTTTAAGAGTTAACAACCATTAACTCTTAACCATTCCATCCTCAGATAAGCCTTTCTAGAATCACCTCCCTGCACTGAAGACTAATATCCACTCAGTGGTGAGGTCCCAGGTCATCTGCCCAAGGTTCACCTAGGACATTGTCTGCTGTGCTCCACCTACCAGGCCACCCGGTCTGCATGGGGATGTGTCCCAAGGCAGGACTTCTGCACTTGCTATTTCCTCTTCTTAGAAGCCCACCCCCTCACCTTCACAAATTCTCAGAAAGCAAACTCCTTTTCATGATTAGAGTCCCATCTCTGATCACATCTTTGAAGAGAGATCCCATGACCACATTACCTAAGGAGTCCTGAAGAATCCCACTTCCCATATTTATCATATTCACAATACATTCCCTTATCCCAAATTATCCATTGCTTTTCTAGTATTAGATACTTAATTTCTTTCCTCCTTCTCACCCCCCTGCCAATCAAACACCACAGGCACAGGAGCCAACCCTTTCTTACTTAACTATCTGCTATGTCCAGAACAGCTCTTGAACACACAGCTCACAATCAATAATTTATGTGTTGAAATGAAGAATGAGTAAAATCCTGGGCTAGCAATGAACTGAGCGTATGAACTGTGGGTGTGCCTCAGAGGACTACACACACTGGCAGTGTTTGTACATATCCTTAACGTGATTTTTCTCCAATTCCAGCTACTTTTTCATGGGCCGCACATTGTGTTTTCTGGCAAGGATGTGCTTAAGCCTCCTAAGCACTGGGGTTGAACACAGCCACAATACACCATGCAGAAATAAAGCCAAGGTCATGTCTTCTAGAGTTATATCCCATGGCCCATTTGCTGTGTAACCGACTCTCAGCAATTCTATAACCAAGCAATCCACACTTCTCAGCAGGAGGAGGATGGGGCTAATAGGAGAATCTTAAATTCACAGACATCACAGTGAAAATAGAGAGGATTCCCAATGATCCTTATGGTTTTGTGGGTAGAAAGCCATCCAAATGCCCTACAGGGATTCTCTCCTCTAGATATACAACAAAGAGAAGAAAATATTTGCTCCTGATGAACAGGACTTGGATGACTAAGACAGTGAGGCTAGGACAAGATGTGACCATCAAGGTATTATGGTGAAAGTGAAGAAGCACAGGGCACTGGGACTCAAGGACAGAGTATCCTGCTGGATTCTGCTGGGGAAAACCAAGTGTCACCAAGAAAGACCAAGTCCAGGCACAAAGGGATAGATGTGTGCAGGGTATAAGGAAGATAAAAATCAGACCCAGTTCCCCCAAATATTGTCTGGAACTTGGGACTTGCCATACAGTTTTCCAGAGAAAGTGTTTTAAGCTAACTAGTCTTCTCCCCTGAAGTGGGGAGGAAATGATGATTGAAGATCTGACAAATGGATGGCAACACAAGTGAAAAGACACATTTCCATTACAGCAACACAGTGGGGCTGATGTGAGACTCACGCCCGGATGTGTGTAGGGGGGGCATTGAAAGGCACATAGATAAGTAAGGACACATGATGACTCTTGAGGTGGCTGTAAGCTGCTCCCTTACCCATAGCATAACTGCTGTGGTTTGAATGCTTTGTCTTCCAAACTCACACCAAAGTTCAATCCCCAAAGTCAGTGACACAAAGAGGGAAGTGTGGTGACATTTTGTTTGTACTCTAACAAATAAAGCTTGCCTGGAGATCACAGTGAGGAGCTAAGCCACTAGTTAACCATAGAGGCCGAGCAGTGGTACAGCTTTAATCCTAACACTTAGGAGAAGGAAGCAGGAAGATTAGGAGATCAAGGCCACCCTGGGATACACAAAATTGATCCAGTCTAAAAGAGAAACAGAGCCAGGCAGTGGAGGCTCATGCCTTTAATCCCAGCACTAGGGAGGTGGAGACAGGAAGTGATATGGCTGGGTAGAGAGAGGAATATAAGGTGGGAGGAGACAGGAGCTCACCCCCTTTACAGTCTGAGGATTCAGTAAAGGTTAAGAAGTCTCACTAGTGAGTGGCTCCTTTACTTCTCTGATCTTTTAGCATTTACCCCATTACCTGACTCTGGGTTTTTATTATTAAGACCAATAAGAATTTCCACTACAGGGTAGAATCTGATGGTGACATTTCAAATTGGTAGTTTCAGAATGAGGTAAGGCTTGGACAAGTTCTTCACAGTGGAGTACTACCAATTCAACCCTAGTGTCAGCAAATGTAGACGGAGATTTGACATGCATGCGAGTACTCCCTGTTTTGCTTTCATGTGATGTCCTGCTCTGCTTCCAGACTGTAAACTAGCAAGCTATCAATGGATCTGAGCCTATGCTGGAGTTATGCCCTTGAACCTCCAAAAACTGTGAGCTAATAAACTCTTTTCTTTATAAAGCTAGTTAGGTTGTACTAAGAGGACTATTTATAACAGTAAGTGCCCGCATCAAAAGAATTTGCGTCTCAAATAAATAACTTAATGATAAACCTTGGTGGACAAGCAAGAACAAACCAAATGCCCTAATAGTTGATGGAAAGAGATCATCAAAATCAGGGCTGAAATTAATGGAGTAGAAAAATACTACAAATAATCAATAGAAACAATGAGGTGATTCTTGGAAAAGATCAATAAGATTGGCAAGCCCTTAGCCAAATTTACTAAAATAAATACAGAAAAGACACAAATTAGTAAAATTAGAAATGAATTGGGAGACATTAGGACAGATACCAATGGAATTCAGAAAAATCGTAAGAACATATTTTTTAAAAAGTCCCAGCTCCACTAAATTGAAAAAATCTAAAGGAAATGGAAAAAAAATCTAGATGCAGACAACATACCAAAATTAAATCAATATGAAATGAAAAAAAAGTTAAACAGGTCCATAATGAGCAGCAAGATTGAAATAGTAATTAAAAGTCTCCCAGCTAAAAATAAGGCCAGCACTGGATGAGTTCACTGCAGAATTCTCTAAAATCTTTGAAGAGGAACCAACTCTGCTGTGGATGGGATATCTATGTCAGTCTGCCTCCCCAGTTTCAGGAAATGTAATAGAAGAGGAGACTGAAAAAATGGAAGAGCAAGAAGGGAGGGGGTGAACTGCTGTCCTTTGGGCATGGCATGGCTATTGAAAATGTGAATTCTAAGTATCTGTGGTTCCCTACATATGACCTGCACAAAATCTAGCCAGTTAAAAATTCCAGCAAGAATACAGTAAGGGCTCCCTAGAGACCCCACTCCTAAGTGAGGAGCTATTGGCAGTTGATGGCTGTGGTATGCTGTGAGGGCAGGCAGTGTTTCTTTTCATTAGGTGTGTGACCACTGGCAGTTCCCTATGTCCCAAGGATGAACTCAACAGTCGCACATATATGGAAAGCACTAATTAGAATCTGTGGGTTTTAAATAATTAATTAATAAGCAAACAAGGAAGTGAGTGGGGGGGGAGCACATGAAGCTGGGAGAGAGATGTAATGTGGGATCTAGGGGGGAACTGAAAGGGGACTAATACATAGACATAATCAAGATACACTATATTACATGTATGAGATTTTCAAAGAATAAATTAAGATTTTAAAAATGTCAGCCTGCCATGGATACTTCAGCCTACTAAAATATATTTAACTCAATGTCTCATGGTCACATGGGAGAGTTGAGAAATCCCAAGAGTCATCTAGAACTAAATGGCTGCCAAGCAACTGATAGGAATCTAAGATACCACACTTTCAAATTGAGGACCTGGCATCCCAGACAACTCTGGCAGTGGCTTCCATGATCCCTAGGCATCTCCAGACTCTAGTCTCCCAATCATATACCTATAAGGTATAATATCAGCACAACTGTCTACACCCAGGACTTGGCTAAGCAGGAGCTGTGTGGCTCCTTGCTGAGATACATTCAAGTGTCTTTGACTAAATACTGCAAAGGAGGGAACTTCAAGGAGTGGCATGCAACTGAGGACTTTTGACACTGTCCCATGAGTACTAACCATAGTAATCTCACCCTACACCTACACAGTACTGGTAAGTGTACTTAAAATTATTTGTAAAGAATTAATAGCTCTGGAGTCCTTTTCCTTGTGGGTGAAGGATGTGCTAATTTGCTTCATGTTTAATGTTGTTCTTTTCTTGTTTCGTTTTGTTTTGTTTAAAAAAAAAGACAATTGCAGAAGATTCTATCTAAAGGCCCCTAATTCTTCCACTTCAGTGGTCTGAATTCCACTAATAAACAATCAGGACTTTAGACTCCCTTAATAATGGAGAGAGATTCAGACGAATTATTTTGCCAGTCTCTGCAAATTCCTGGAGGTGCTGCCTGTTGAACGGGCCAGCAAAATTATGGATTTATTCAGGACTGATTGCATTGGGTATATAAGCAGTTTTGAAGGATTAAAAGAGAACAAGTGAGATGGTTGTGAGCTGAATGAATAGGGGCCCTGCATCCTTGTGACTACCCAGTCAGGCACGGAGAAAGGATGTGTTGGGAGAAATGAATAGACTTACTGCATGGATGAGCAAGGACCCGGACCTCGTCCACAGCGATGTAACCAGGATGACCCTTCAAAGAGACGGATTCAAATATCACCTGAAATACACAGGGCTGATGTCAGTTTCACAGAAGCATTTGTCCACATTCACCTGAAGAAGTCACAGAGCCCTCAGTCCCTTTCTGTGTCAGCCTCCCATCAGAACCAGCCAACAACGCCTCACGTTAGGAGAGTGCACCATGCTGCTAGTTGACTTGGGTTTCCAAACAAGGCAAAAAGTTTACACTCTGGTGACCAGCAGTAGAAGCCAGCCATGTGGAACATTTTGAATGGATTTCAGAAATAACACTTAGCCACAACAACAAACAATTTTAACAAGACCCTGGGTTCCCATCAGTAGCTCCCTTGTTGTGGTTTCAAATGAATTACAGAAGGAACTAGTTACAAATAGTCCAATTTCCCTTATTGTCTTGGAAATCAGTGTAAGCTAAGGAGACTTGATCCTGATGTGACTCTATAGTCAACTTGGACTTCCTGAATGTGTGTGTGTGTGTGTGTGTGTGTGTGTGTGTAAGTGTGTATATTTGTATGTGTGTTTGGTGGCTAGAGGTCAACCTCTTGTTGTCATTCCTAAGGTGCCACCCATCTTGGTTTTTTTTTGAGGTAGAGTCTCTCACTTGGCTTGGAATTCTCCAATAAACCTAGAGCTTGCCTGTCTACACCTTCCCAGCACTGGAACTACAAGAATGTGCCACTAAAAACCTGCCTCCTTTTTACAGGGGTGCTAAGGATCAAACTCAAGTCCCTGTGTTTGCAGCAAGCACTTTGCTGGCTGAGCCATTTCCTAAGGCTTCCTGGACATCTTCATCACACCTCTTAGGGACTAGCAGCAATCTACCTGGTTGTATCTAGGAGTGGAAGGAAGCAAGAACATTTCTCTACTCTGACTCCTACCAAAACTTTTTATTTCCACAAGAATTTAATAATTAAGTTTCCCTTGCCTTCCCTCTCTCTTCATTGAGGAGGAATGAGTATCATGTGAACACCATGGCCAGAACCTTTTGCAGAACTAATTCACACTCCCTACAGCTACATTCTCGAACTTGGACATGACACTTGGCAATGCTCTGTCAGACTCTTACCCTACAGCCCTCTCCTGACTCACGATTCTTTCATCTGTTCCTTAGACTCACACAGTACCTGGGTCTGTATTTCCCTGGAGTCCGCCATTCACCTAGACCTCCCTACATTCTCACCAAGCCCAGGCTACTTCTACCATGTTGGCTAATCACCAATGTGTTTCCCTCTGTGAGACTAATTCCTTTACACCTCTTTTTGAACCTTGCCAGACTGATTGTGGACCTTCCTTCTCCATCTACAACCCCTACCCAATGTTCTCCTTTCATCATCCACTCACTCAATCCCAGAAGGAACTACAGCTTCAAGACGATCAGGGATGGGCTGACTCCGCACTTCTTACCCACAAACCTATCCTTCCTCCACACCAACCACAATCTCTGCAAGCAAGTCAGAACCCTCCAACCTGACTGATCCCTGCTGGTTTCCAGAACCTTGGGCTCTTCTGGGCTTTCCTTTGCTACTCTGCATTTCCAGGCCCTCCCTGTTTCCCTCTGACCTTAACATATATAAATGGTTTTAGCTTTTCCTATTCTTGAAAAACTACCTCTCTGTAGTAAGTTCTTCTCTGTAGCCAGTTGTATTTCAATCACAATTCTTAGTAGTTTAATAAAGCCATTTCTACCATTTCCTTACTTCCACCACAAAATGTTAAGTATAAAAATCCCAATCAGTCACAAATATTCCTCTCCAGATTGTTTTCATTACAGACACTAATATTCTAATTACTAAACCTGATGAAACTTCCCCAAAATTCTCTCTTATTTTCAGAATGAAGATGGTGGGGCTGGAGAGATGGCTCAGTAGTTAAAAGCATGGACTGCTCATCCAGAGATCCTGAGTTCAATTCCCAGCAACCATATTGTGGCTAATAACCTTCTATAACTGTATTCCCATGGAACCTGATGTCCTCTTCTTGTACATGTAAACAAAACATTCATATTCATAAAATACATAAAAAATTATATAAAAGAAAACAAGAAAAGCTTCCTGTTTTGAGCCCTAGTGTCTGCACTTATAATTGCAATATCTACCCCGTTAGGTAACTTTTCAGGTGGAGGGAATTAATATCCTATTGAGAATGTTAGACACATGGCATTCTCAATGAATGTCTATTATAATTATTATTACTACTTGACAATGCTTCTGCAATTGTCAGTATTTGCAGCTTGTCTCTTTCCCAGTCTCTACTTGGGCTCAGAGGATACACATTTGAGTTTTCTCATATATACGTGGCCATCCTGTCATGAATTTATAGGTACTCTTCCATCTCCATCCTTTTGGAGATTGTGTTTCCTCTACTCTCCATCTGACTGCACACACTCACCCTTCAGCCCTTGCCAATTCACTGGCAATGCCAAGCCCAGCTCGGTGTCCTATGTCTTCCATCAGAACATTAATCAGCATCATTTAATCAGCTCACAATCAAGAAGTTTCCTCACATGTTCTGTATGTAACAGTTCTGAGAATATTAATCCCCCCAATGGCCCATCCCTCCTAAAATACAGTGCTATAGCCTTCCCACTCATCATAGCTGGAAACCTGGACAACTATATGGGCTTCTACTTCAACTTCATCCCTTATCTTCAGTTTCTTTTTGATTATATCCTAGTAGAATTGCCCAAATATGCCCCTGTTTTTCCATCTCTTTTACTAGACAGATCACGGGAAGCAGCCATTTGTGAGTCAAAGCCAGTCAGGTATCAGAGCCAGTGTTTAGTTTAGCCTGTAATTGTTTTTCATATCTACCACAGTGATGACCTTCAAAATGAACCCCCTGTCCTGTCCCTACTACACAGCTCAAGTCTGTGGTTGAACAATAAAGTAGGTGATGAGATCAATAGGAAATCTCTATAGGAGACCATGTCGTCCAGGCCAGTGGCTTCAAAGGTCAGTGCTCTAAGGGGAAACCTATAGAAGTCTTTCTATAAAGAACCAAATGCCTACATGTGTGTGTGTATGTGAAAGAGAGAGAGAGACAGAGACAGAGACAGAGACAGTTTAAATAATTCAATGGAAAAACTGAAGTCCATGGGAAAAAATTAAATAGAGTATATAAAGCAAATATATTTCAAGAGAAATAGTAGAAAAAGCATTCATACTGTGAAATAAAAATGACAAATACAAGAAAAATGTTTCTGTTTTGACAATAACTATAAATGGGTTAATATAGAGGAAAACAGCCAGACTGTCTAAATAATCAAAGTCTAATTGTATGCTGTAAGATAAACACCTAAGACAGAATGACTCAGTAACCTTACAAATAAGGAGTGGAACAAAGACACAATAAGGGAAATGCAAGTGAACAGAAAACAATTGTTACAAAAAATAATGGGACTGTTTCAAAGTAGATTTTTAACCAAACTGAAAAATATAAACCATTAAGTAGACTAAATTTACCACTAAAAGTTGCATCTAGAGTCCTTCAAGACAAGAAATTTGAAAGGAAAATGATGATGGGGGGGGAGAACATAGTATCTAAAGACTTTGATCTATGTTTTGGTGAATCAAATAGAAAAATCAATACAACAAATATATTTTTTTCTTAAATGTGTTAATGAATATATTGAGAAAGCAAAATTTCTGTTCAAATGCTCAAGGATTTGTAAAGAGATCATAAGCCAAATTATAGTGTAACATCAGTAAGTCTCCCAGTGAATGAAATTTGTATAGATTTGGTTTTAAACATTTTTGTAACCAAATTTCCTAAAACTATAAAATAATAACAATCTTAAAATCAAGTTCTTAAAAGTTATAAAATGAATATTAATGACTATGATGTTGTAGATGTTTCTTATGTTAACAAGAGTCTGAAAAAAATCGAAAGTCAAATGACAACCTGAGAACAAGACATGTAATATACATACCAGTTAAAAGAAGCATATCCTTTTTATTTGGGGAGTTCCAAAGAATTATTGACAGCCAAAAAAAGACATGAATAGTCTACCCTAACCACCCCCCAAAAAAAACCTGGCGAGCTGTTTCAATAAGAAAATTGCAAAAGATAAACTAGGAAAGACATTAATCTCTGAGTGCAAATTTCTGAAATGTCATGGAGGATGTTCAGAGATATTTTAGAAGACTCCCATTGTGTTGGGTGGTGATGACTGCTCCACCTCTCTGCATTGGTATGGGAGGTGCTGATCACTGGCTAGGTATTAACCAGGGCCATTTTCTAAGTACAGACACCACAAAGGAGAATGCCAGTATCCTCTAGAAAGAAAGATCCACCCAGGAGCTGTGTGGTCATGAAAATAACATAAATGATGGAGGTAGACATATGTGGAGAAGACCTGAGAGTACTCTAGAGATAGATGTCTCCAAGGAGCAGGAAGGGAAGGGGTGGAATTGGGTGGAATATTGAAGTAGGCTGCACACCCAGAAGGGCAAAGGACACTCAAAGAAGCAGGGACCCCGGGTGCCAAGATCATAGTGGGAGGCCTGATCCCATTATCTCAAGCTCTGTGAAGGACATTCCACAGCCTCAAGGCCGCTGCATGGAACCTACTGTCAACTACAGCTAGCTTGGGCCTAAAGCCCTGCTGGAGATCTCCTCATGCAGGTATGAGGAGGGGGCTTACACAGACCAGTTCAAACCTGCCTCTGTGCAGAGTTAAAGCCTGGAAGCAACTCCCAGGAAAGACTCAGAGAGGATTACACTAAACTTAAAAAAAATCATAATGTGTATGTTTGGGGAAGGATGTGAACATATCAGGTCACGGCTTAAGAGACCCAGGGTGTCTCGATGATCTGCAATCCTTCTGCAGAAGACACAGCAAAAATTTCAAAGGGCTGCAAACATTTCTTAAAAGATAAGAGGAAAATGTTGGCTTATCAGAGTCCCTCTTAGGAAGAGTGCTCTACAGGCATTGTGGGGAAGATTGCTTAGAGTACAATCAAGGGACATTCTTTCCCACTCCAGCTCACAGAGGCCTCTATAGGAGGAGGAACATTTGCTGCATAATAGAGGTGGAGTGTGGGAAAGGAGATAGGATGGGAGTCAAAGGGTAGGATAGAGGGTGAACTGCTGTGACAAAATCGCCTGAATTGTCACTGTCCAGACTAAACCTAAAGTGCCAGATGCCAGGTAGATCCTGAGAAAGGGACTGAGCTCTGAGGACACGTATACCAACATCAGGTGAGTCCTTCATTTCAAGGGTCTGTGGAGCACTTTTCAGTGCCAAATAAAAGGCCATTTTACTTAAGCAGGAAATGGAGAGAAGAGAAGGCAGGTGGCTGAGAAGTTAGTAATAGTGTTATTTTTTTCCCCCAAATATTGGGGAAAACTCAGAGCCACTAAAATATGAAATTGAATTGATATCACCTGGAAAGAGGCCTAGACCAGAAGCACAAGGCTTCACAGGCACTGAATTAGCTTTCCAGGGGAGGCAGGCAGGAGTGGGGTGCGGGGTGGGGACTGCCAAGGGATTTTTCTCACCTGGGGCCCTGTGGAAAGCCCAGCATTCCAAAGTCCAATAATATGAAAGATGACATTTTTGCTTATTACAGAGCTCAAGTCAATTTTAGGACTGTGAAATATGACTTTAATAAATGAATACACAAACCCATAAGGTTCAAAGCCCAGCAATGCTGAAAACCAAATTTGACTCAGTCCACAGGATCTACACACAGGACTGGCGCTTGAAGTCTGGAGAATTTCAAAACCCGTTCCGCTCCTGTCTGAGAGTCTCTTGAGGGGTCCCCTTTCTCATTATTCTACCCATGAGTGTGTATATTCACGTGTTTGAATCTGGGCAGACATAAGAATTTAGGTGTCTGTGTGTGCTCAGCTGTGCTTGTGGCCACGTGAGTGTCCAGAAATGGCTGAGTGTGCACAGGGGTGACACATGCTTTTTCCATGACACTGCTCTCAACACATGAGTGATTTCTCCTCACAAAGCTCAGAGCAAAGGGAATGGAGGAGGATGGAAATTGTTTGGCAGTCTCTTGGTAAGGCTACTTACCTAAGAAAAGGCACAGAGGCCACAGAAGACAAGCTCAACAATGCTGTGTCATTCTTCAGTGATGGCTTCACCCCTCCACTTTCTTTCCCTTTATTTCTGGTCCTACTTCCTTCCAATCACTTCAAGCCTGACATGTCTCCCCATATGGGATCAACTTTAACCTACAGAGTGACTCATCCTGGTACCTGTTCCTCTTTCTATCTTACATGTGAGGCCATTGGGATCCTAAATGATAGATGACAGGACACAGGCGACATCACACAGCTAGAGAGCAGCAGATTCCCAGTATAGGCAAAATGCTTCCTCAAAACACAGGACACAGAGCTCAGAGCTGGTGAATGTGGGCAGGATGATGGGGAAACTGATTTACCAATAATATCCCCTACATTAGAAGACTGGATCTGTTGCCACCAAAAACAGGGAGCTTCTGCACAAATACATGGGATACAGAAATAGCATACCACAGGGCCAGAGGGATGGGAGCTCATCAAATGTCCTTTCTTCCTCAGTCTCCATCAAAGAGCAGGGCAAATGGAAGGACAGTCCAATTTCTGGGTTAATTGTCCTGTTTAGTATACTTCAAGCCATGACCCTATCCTAAATCTACTCACAGCAGGCTCTAAAAAGGTCTGACTGAAGCTTGAGGCCTCAGTGGGAGTATTCATGAGTTTATGGAGACAACAGATGTTTAAACTCAGCGGTACAGTGAGAATACTCTGGAGACCAGGAATTTCAGTTGCGGCCCGAGATTTGTCAATGCTTTTCTATGCGCTGTTGGACTTTGTAATATATTTCCCCACCTCATCCACATCAGAGCGTAGCAAACTAAGGCCTGGAAACCAAAACTGGGCCATCAGCCATTGCGACACATAAAACTTGACTGGAACAGCTACATCTACTCATCTACATATTGTGACTGTCTGCTTTCATGGCACAACAGCAGGGTTAGGTGACGACAACAGACACTTTAAGGCCCACCATTCTCTGTCGGGTGCACAACAGGGATAAGCCAAAACCACGTGGGCCCACCAACATGCTCCAAATCTCTATGGACATAGACACAGTGTAATTTAGCAATCCCAAATGGTCCCCATGATGCTCAACAGTTCACCAAGTAAACCAGGGCTCTCTCAGATAAATCAGGAAGCTGGGACACCACTCCCTAGCATATTACCTCTATGCTAAAAGGGTCACATGCTAAAGACAGGTCAAGGTCAAACTTCCATAGCAGATAGTAGATTGAATACCAATACACAGATTTTTTTCTGGCTCTCTATAACCCTACTTGGCTGACTGTATTTCCAAAATAGAGATGCCACATAGTTTTCCCAAACCCTGGGCCACTTCACCTTCACCAAAGAGCATCTCACAAAACAACTAGTGCCACTTCTTTCTAAGAGAACAAGAACTCCCCTCACCCATAAAACCCTGCAGGTACAAAACAGGGGGCTACAGCCCAAAAGCAACCTAGACATCCAGCATGCAAGCTATGTCACACAGGTATTTGTTAATGTAAATTGGTGATAAAAGCTAAGCTGAGCTGGTCAGACACCATATGCAGCCTTAATTTATGGCACACCTTGTGAATATGCATAAATTTTATGGTTGGGATATCCATACACTTGACTCTGGTATGCCATGAAGAGCCTATTATAGGTGTTACTTACAGAACACATGGAGAATGCAAATGTTATCACCTTGTAAACTGCAAATACTGTGAACTCTGAAACATATCTGATACTGTGAATGCCAGATCAAGGATCGTGGACCTGGTACTACTTAAAGACGTCTTTACAAGAGGAAAGAAGACAAAGAAATAATGAGGTCAAAGACACCTTTCTCAAAACATCTACAATAAAAAAAAAGTCCCAATGTTAATGGCACATATGTTAAAACCATTATATTCTCTTTTTAGCCACTTTTCTTGGTAAGACATTGCTGCTCTCACAAAGGAAGTAAGTACTTTACCTGATACAAAATGAGTACAGTCCACACTCATTACCACAACTCCAGGCTCTGCCTGACCCCCTCTGCATTTCTGTACGGATATTTTGTACTGTGCCTATAACATAAGCACTCAATAAATGGTAGGTATCCATCATCATCATCATCATCATCATCATCATCATCATCCCCTCAGCATCACCATCATGATCATCATCATTCTCTCCCCTCTAATTCTAGAGGAATTACAGGAAATGCCTATGAAAGGACAATGCTATCAGTCTAAAAACAAATCCCAAGCCACTGAAGATAAAATGGGAAATAGATGTGGCAAAAATCTAGGCTAAGTACTGAAGGTAATTGAGTATTAAATTCTGATTTTTAGTTGCCAAAGCAAAGAAGAAATAGGGCTGAAACTGCCTCATTAATGTAAACAGGCAAGCTCAGTAGAGAAATATATTCCTATCACCAACAGACTGAAAGAACTACAAACTAGGTGTGGAACTCAGGGCCATCTAAGAAGCCCTGGCCACTTATCTGCCACCCTTGGGTCTATCTTCTGCTTCAGACACTAGAAGATATCTCCAAAATCCAGATTTGTGGCACTTGCTTATTTGAAAACTTTCATCCGTGGAAATGGGGACTGAAACTAGGTACAAGAGCGCCTGTTGGATGAAGGAAATGTTCTAAAAATGGGTGATGGTGGTAAATGCAGAATACAGTAGCTTTACTTAGAAAAAGCACCAGATTGCACACTTAAACAAAGGTCAATTCCATGATATGAACATTTTAACTAATGATGTTTTTAAAGAAAAACTCTCAATAATTTTGGCTTATACCTGCCTGGAGTCATCCTCTGCAAACAATCTGTGAATGGCGTGGGTCTGTATTATTTCACTTTATCCACAATGAGATGAGTATGGCAAGCAAGAATGGGGTTCAAAGCAGACACAACAATTTGGCATCACAACAACATAGTTTAGTGTGGCTTATAAAAGTATTTGTCCGTAAGGACTTCGGAGAGAGTGGCCCTTCCTTCCCAACTGGCAGTTTGTAAATCACTGCTCTAGGACTGGCTTGTTAGCCTGACCTTCAAATCCCCATGTGCTACATGCTCTGCAAGTTCCTTCCCTGTATATATCATCTGCAAGATATCCTCAGAGGATTTTGTTTCTGCTGGGCATGATTACATACACCTGAAATTCTTGCACTTAGGAAGCTGAGGCAAGAGGATTGATATAATTTCAAGGCCAACCTGGGATACATTGTGAGTTCAGGATATTCTGGGCTACAGTGTGAGACCCTGTCCCAAAAGGTGGGGGTGGGGAGAACCACCAAAACAAATAGTAAGAAAAAAAGAGAGAACTTAGTTTCCAAAATTATTCAAAATCTCTCACTTTCTCATGCTCCATCTCCTGTATGATCACTTTCCCAGATATCTTAAACGTCTTGCCCTCCTTTCCAGTCTATCTTAATTCAATCTTCCAAATTGGGTCTTGCTGTCTTCTCTTCTTAGACACTACCCTATTGCCCCTCCAACCAAATAGCCTCTACCTGACTAGTCATCTTATCTCTCTGAACCTCACCCTTTCAAGTGTGGAATCCAGTTGGGAGTTTATAAGAGACTCTGGTGCCTGCATTCCTCCACATGAACTTGGCTATGCTGGCACTGTCTTCACATTGGTCCCCTCCTGATGACCTCTGGAGAGACAGGGGCTATGCTGGGTAACCTCTGCATCCCTGGAAAAGCCTCTTCAGCATGAGTTATTCAAATGAGTAAACAAATAAGGTTCTTTCTAGGCTTATCCACTCTAGGAAAGGCAAGAATAAAGATATGTAATTGTTACCTGCTAGAAAGAGAGCAAGGTTAGAATGTCATACCTGGTAGAAATGAGGCCAGAAGGTGCTGATGGCAAGTTCTGCTTTCACCCAGCCCTCGGTGACAACCCCAGACACATTCCAGACAGGGTTGCCTTGGGGACCACCGTTGACCTTCACGTAGACATTCAAGGCTCCCGGGCTTGAGCGATCTCGGCTGGAGAAGTAGTAATGGAAGTCAATGCAGTGCGTGTCGTTCTCCTTCAGGGTCGGCAGAAGAAGATGGGCTTTCTGGCCTGAAGCCCTTCCAGAGCTGTTGACCATCATGAAGGATCCTAGAGACCCACAGTGGGCAGCAAACAGAAACAAAAAGAGATGTCCTTCTGAAAACTTGTCACACTCATACATGGTACCTAGTAGGAAGGTTGGAAAAAAAGTCCCTTTAGGTGACAGGTTGGGTTGACTCTGAGTAAACCACATCCTCTCTTAGGGTCTGAGGAGGACTTCCATCACTGGGGTTAAAATCCCTCCTTACAGTGGTATTGGAAGAATGAGGAGTTAGATGGTACTACACAGGAAGCATTTCTATGCTGTGGATATTGTCCTGTATAAATAAAACACTGATTGGCCCTTAGCCAGACAGGAAGTATAGGTGGGACTAACAGAGGAGAGAGAAAAAGGAGAGAAAGACAGAGGGGAGGAGACATCAGCTGCCATCCAGGGAGCATCATGTAGAGGCAACAGGTAAAGCCACGGAACACGTGGCAACATATAGATTAACAAAATTGGGCTTAGTATAAGAGTAAGAGCTAGACAATGGTAGGCCTGAGCTAATGGCCGAGCAGTTTAAATAATGTAAGAGTCGGTGTATTTATTTTATAAGTGGGCTCCAGGACTGGTGGGGTTTGGCGGGAGCTGGAAAGAAACTCTCAAGCTACATTTCTACCCAATAGATTGCTTATCACTAAGATCAGGACCTTGAAGGAAGCAAGGGATTAAAAACCCAAGAAGGGAGTCAACCACAATCTCTACAGGTGAAATGGGATGGGAAATAGCCTCACAGAAGCTGAGGTTTGTTCCAGCTGAGGCAGAACCTCTACAATATGGAAGGGTCCTGTGTATGGACAGATGCCATCTGGATTTCTGCACTCAGCATAGGAGACTCCATATCAAAGGAGACCATATACAAATAAAGCATATCTGATAAAGAAATATATCCACCCCCCAGAAGTGTGAGAACCAACTATAAGATGCTTGAGGAGAACTGCAAAGTGAATGGTACTCTAAGCACTTAGAGACTCGTATTAACAGTAAGTATCTATTGGTAGAACATATAACTGCTTCTAATAGCTGTAATTGCTTCTAAGCATGCAAAAGGCTGTGCCATAGACCTGAGTGAGCCTCTTTCCAGCTGCCGTGACAAGTAGAAACTGTCTCCGGTTCTCTACCCCTCTCTGGATCCAAGTCCTTTGGCACTGGCTTTACAGTCCCCTCTGTAGAATCAGAGGCTAGCTCTTGACACTGGGCTCCATTATGTGACTTGCAAATAGAAGCTACATAGATGTTAAAAGGTGCCATTTTAGCTAGGCTTGCCTTCTAGCACTACTTTTTTGGTGATAAGAAGCTGATGTCCCTATTGGCTTCGGATCAAGAATTAACATACACAGGCAATCCACAGGTAAAGAGCCAAGCTCTGCAACTTGAAAGCAAGATGCACAGCCATGTGGTCAACATATCTAACCTGCATCAGTCAACCTGCAATCGATGCACAGATCAGCGAGTATAAGAATCAATGCTTACTGTTGTTTGCCACTGCTTTCCTCCTGAGTGTTCATACAACATTGCTGTGACATTGGCTAATTGATAAAGCTTCCCAAGAACAAGATTCAAATCCATCACTATGAAGAGGCACATCTCAGCTCATTATGCAACAGATTTTTATCACAAGTGAAATTTGTGCAAAATGGAATCAACTGCCCAGAGACAAAGTGAGTCCTCTTCACTGTAGGTGGCTCCTCAAAGCCTGCACCAACTGACATATCTAAGAGAATTTTACAGTTGAGGAAGGAGGCTGAACTCTGCAACTTAAAAGTCTTATGATTCTCCTGAACAAAATGCTTCATAAAACACAGTAGATAAACTCCAGTAATGCTGGGATAAATGTTTTCTATCTAGGAAACAAGAATTGCTTTGAAATCTCATTGTGACCACTAAAATCATTCTGAATGAAATCTTAAGACCCCTTATCCCCAGGCAAAATGAGCTACTTCAGTAGCCATAAGTCGCCTTGCTCATCCTGATACCAAAACTAAGAGCTGAAGACAATAAGTGCTGGGATATCTATATCTTGTTGAGGTTTTAGACAGTACAGACCATTTACACCTTGTCTCCTAGGTTCTGAACAAATTTACAAGTGGACACAGAAGGGAGATTATATTTAAAACCTCTATACAATTGCCCACAAAGCTGGATTAAAGAAAATATTAGCCTTGAAGACAAATTAGGCTTCAAGTACTCCACATGTTCATGCATAAAAAAACAGCTAGATGCCCTGAAATCCATCCCTAACTCAATCCACATTCCTAAGGGAAAGCTGTTCTTCAGGGATGATGACTGGGGGCATTAGAGTGAGCTCACATTAAAACAAACAACCAACCAAAAACTCAACAAGGAAGCCAAATAACAAGGACCAAGAAAACTGCAGTCAGATTTTCAATAACCTACCAATCAGAAAACTCACCTAGCTCCTGGTTACTATCCAGCGGAAGTGGAACAAAATTGTCAATAGTGTAAAGAACCCCCCTTTATGAACTGGCAAAAGCTGAGGGTAAGTGTAAAAATGCTTCCCTATTACAGATGCTATCTAACTATCAAAAGCCCCCAATGAACTAGCAAGGAATAAACCATTAAAGGGGGAAATGGAGGCTCAGTGATTAGACTGAGCCAACATCCATACCTGCCCTTGCTAGTCTACACACAGGCTCCTGATGGCTCTCCTTGACAGATGGGCTTATGGCCCATAAGCTTCACAAAGAGTGGTGGGCTGTCTTTGCCACTGGGTAGTCATGCATCTCCCAAGAAGAGAGGCAGCCTGAGAAGTGAAATATGCTGAACTCTCTCCATGCCAGGTTGCATGATGGATTCTGTATACAGTCAGCTCCTGTCCACTTGCCAATCTACACCACATATGTACCTACAGCTTCTTATACTCCACAGCAGAAAAAGTTAGGAAAAGGTCCTTCCAACAGCTCTTGTCACCATTTCTGTTCTTCCTGGGTTCAGTAGCTGAGCAAGCCTGAAGAGGATAAAGCATTTATCTTATTTAGTACAGTATCATACAACTCTGGACATAGAGGGAATACAGAACCCAGTTTCAAAGAAGTCAAAGTATGGTGTGCACCTGTTCCATGCTCAGTCCTTAACAAATGGCTCCCTCTCATGCTCACATCCATCCTTCATTATCTTTTCTCCCTAACAAATGGTCCTTCATTCACAGCCTCAGCATTACCCAAGAGCTCAGAAGACATGAGAATCTCAGACCCCTGCATTCCTGTGCAGTCTGCACCTACATTTCTATCAAAAGCCTCAAGTGACAATGTACACACACGAAAATGTGGGAGTGACTGGTCCGTTCTCTTCTCCCAACCACATTGAATGTTCAGGATTTCAAGAACCCAGGGGAGGGTAGAGCCACAGTGAAAGAGTCAGAGTGGTCATAACTATATTGCAGGTCAACCATTTTGGACACAAAGGGATTCTTTAGAAGGAATAAACTATAATTGGGTTATGAAGCCAAAAGAATTTTGAGGTTTATCTTTCCACATCAGTGTCATTATTTGGGCTCCTCAGGAAGACCCCCACTATCTCTCTCAAGCCCCTTTATTAAAAGAATTGAAAGTATAAAGCAAAGTTACAAGATGCTATAAATAATTGGGATGCCAATAAGGGAAGCAACCCTAGGTGGTTTGAATTAGATGAGAATATGCAAAGGCACAGAGGCAGGAAGCCACAACAGTCCCCAAAGCAGGTGTAGCGTCTTAGGGGATATGGGAGGATGCACTGATAGCCCCCTCTGTGAGAGGTCTCCCCATACCCTCCAGAAAAGAAAGAAGCCATATCTCTGAGTCATTTGAGCCAGGCCTGCCATTTCTAAGATTATTCAAGTGTGAGAGCCCTGTTCTACAGCGGCTCAGTGGGGCCCTCTTTGATCAACAGGTTGGCATAATTAATATCATCCCAAGGCTGTCGGTTTCCTAGAGATCAAAAATGAGCCAGTCATTACGCCAAGATCAGTCAAAAACAAGAAAGAGAGAGACTGTAAATACAGTCTTTTCCTTTGCCTTAAAAAAAAATGTACCAATGTGATAAGGAACATAAAACAGCATTAGTTTCTTCATAGTTATTATACATAACACTGAAAATCGTGGAATTAAACCAGGAAGTACTCTCAGGCTGGCCATAAATTTTGCGTTTTCCCCCTCCGTGCATAATAATGCCTTGATAAGCGCCCCATTACTGATGTGTCTGCCACACAGATACCCTTTTTGGAGGCAACACGCTTCTTAGTAGCAGATGGCGGCTATTGTGTTTACACATGAGCACCTCAGGATTGCATTTCCTCACGTCGACAGTAAAAAGAAAGTCCTAATTGAGTTTTTAATGGCTTTGCACATTGTTCATTAAGATTACATGAGTGTGCTTGGGCGACTGGCAACTGAGGGCCTACAGCTCTGAGAAGAAGAACACGGAGTGGTCCCTGAAGACAGGTGGGCTGCCAGCTTCCACAGCCGGGACCTGTGAAGGGAGAAAGGATAGAGACAGAGGCCCAAGAGCTGCTGAAAGCCAAGCAGCTGCAGCAGCATGGGAAGGATCCTGGATCTTCTTCACCAGACACCTAGTCTTCCTTCTGGGTATGTTGTTTGTTAGGGATGTGACTTTGAGAAAGCCCCCAACCCTCAGTGTCTTCATCTATAAAGTGGGATGTGGAAAGTGACATATGGAAGTTTGACATTCATTTCAGTGAATATTAAATGATACACATTCCTTGACTCAGTGAATGTGGACTTGGCAACAAATAGCAAGTAGCAGATGACATTAACCTGGTGAGTGACACTGAGAAGGCCCTACATACCTGGAATTGGTCTAAACACCATTTAGTATTCCAATGAGGCAGTCTCATGCTAGCCCTGTTTTAAATAGGTACACTGATGCACAGCCCAGGCTAGGACCTCAGTTCACGGTAGCTGAGCTGCATGTCAGAGACCAGGCTGTGCACACCTCTGTGCTTGGTGCAGTGGCCCTGAAAGACAGAATACCTAGGAACACTTAGCTTCCT